ATCATCTCCCACCAGGAGAGTGTCTGTTTTTCTTGCAGATGTGATAGCTGTTTGAACAATTAGTACACCAACGTCTTTTTGCTTGGACTGTGCTGCACCCAGCTCTCTGCAGTTTCTCACCCAGATAATCAATAAAGCGCTGTTTGTATTTCGCGTTGTTCAAGAATTATTCCTTCTTCGATCAAATGACCATTTCCCCCGTGAAATAAACTGTCACACCAGAACAGGCCCCTGTTCTCATGTGTGTGGCATCTTTCGTTGATGGGTGATTGTAGCCATCAAAGACCACGGCAGTAGAAGGATATTTCTGTACAACATAGTTGGTACATAGTTCACACACACAATCAAATGAAGAACCTCCTGTCCAGGGTAGACGGTGAAGTAGAGCACCACCATCAACGATGTTCTCGACATTTCCAATAGGTTAACGTTGTTTCACACGGATAGTTTTCCAGATAGCATCAGCAATGTTGCCTTAATGGCCTACAGTGAAAGGGGGCATGATTCACTCAATGCAAGAGGGTGACTACAGAGTTTATACTTGAACAATGCTGGAAGATCGTCCCAGCATTCCCCAACAGTTATCAGCCTCTTGAATATTAACTGTGGATCCACCTTGTCCGCAATCCGCAGCATAAGATGTTTACAGGAGGAATATTTAACAGCATAAAACACCATGCGCAATACAAAACATATAATAATATGTACACCTATGAATACATACTCTACATGGCATAATGATAAATAGCATTATATTGAGAACGTTTTGTTAATGATATAACAGATTTTGACAAGTTTACATAATATTCCGAGTTTGGGTTGGAGAATAACTCTTTTAGTTTTATGGTGCTGGGTCTTACTATATAATATTAAGTAAGTAGCGATTGTCTTTCTGTTAGAAAGTGATCACATATAAACAAATAGTGCCCAAGTCATGTTGCTCACACAAATTACAAATCCTATTGCCATGTTCTATATTTCAGCCATCTGCCTGGTCAGAAATTTGAAGTCCTAAATTTCAATATTTCTCACCACCATCTTTCTCGTAAACTGGTTAAGTAGTTTTCAAAACATAAAATATCATTGAATATAGAATATATTTAACCTTTTGATGATGGTGATATATCCGAGTGCCATTTTTGTTTATAATGGTTTTGTTGGTACAGACTTAATAATATTCTTAAGCCAGAAAGCATTAATATCACATTTCGAGACCGACACAACCACAGGTCTTCCACCATATGATTTAAAAACTTCAAGAACATTCCAATACTATTTGGCTGGTTGGTTGGTTTGTTGTTTAACACAAAGGATCACTCACAAGTAAGCCTTCATTGGAACTTATTAGGCCAAATTACACATTTTTCAAACACAAACTTAGCTAGAATGTTCCTACATGTTCTTACAACTACATGCCTTCTGATGTAGAGACTGAAGCAGTCTCCATTTTCTTAAAACGTCATGTACAAAAATATGAAATAACGTTATACAAGCAGACAAGCAAAATGTTACAAAAAATATGTTTTTATTCCTTGTAAAATTCATATTTTTATTATATTATATCATTATTCATTTATCTTCCATAGGTATCCAGGTACTAGTATCTATTCAAATGCGGGTTTCATTTGTTCCCCGACCAGTGGATCCGTTTGCATTCCAGGTGTCATTCTCTACTCCCTGGGGAGTGTACAAGCCAAGAAGTCTATGTGCGCTAGAGGGTTTTTACATCCACCTTTTAATCGGGTACCCATTCCCAGGTGGGTGAATAGAGGCATATTTGAACAAAGTCACTTGCCCAGGGTGACACAACAAGTTTTGACACTTGCGTTTCGGGTGTATGTCTTCGTGTTTCCAACATCTGGTCATCTGCCATGGGACGAGACCCGTGAAGATAGGGGGTACAGTAGGTCTTCAGCAACCCATGCTTGCCGTAAATGGCGACTATGCTTGTCGTAAGCGGCGACTAACGGGATCAGGTGGTCAGGCTCGATTTCTTGGTTGATGCATGTAATCGTATCCCAATCGTGTGTGTGTGTAAGTGAAGTCTTATGTCTATTATTTAATATCTCATTAAGAACGCGTACATATCCAAGCCAAAGGAAATAGCTCATGTTATGCCACTATTAAAAAAAAGGGAGCCAACACTATCTTCAAACTATAGACCAATATCTTTGAAAAGCTGTATCGGGAAAGTATTCGAACGAGTTCTGTTCAAGCACTTGCACAATTATTTTCATGAGAATTCGTTGCTGTACAAATACCAATCAGGATTCCAAGATGGCCACTCGACCGTCCCCCAGCTAGTGGAATTATATAATCAAGTGTGTAAAGCACACGATAACAAAGAGTTCTGTTGTATGGTATTCTGCGATATTTCAAAAGTGCTTGATAGAGTATGGCAGGGTGGGCTTATATGTAAATTGTCATGTTATGGTATAAACAATGAATTACTAGAGTGGCTGGCTGATTACGTAACAGCTCGCAAATAATCTGCTTTTTTAAATAGAACATTGTCTGACACTGAAGAGTTAAAAGCTGGTGTCCCACAGGGATCGGTACTAGGCCCTTTCTTGTTCCTTGTGTACATCAATGATATTACTGATAAATTGAACTGTGCAACAAGATTATTTGCCGATGACACATCCCCAGGCATATCATCTAATAACATTGAATATATAGAAACTACTATGATTAGCAATTCAAACAAAATTACTGAATGGGCTCAAGACTGGCTAATTGTATATAATCTGAGCAAAACAAAATCAATTCTTGTTTCCACAAAAGAGCCGCAGAGAACTTTGAAATTATTTTTGGATAATCAGAACACTGAAAATGTTAAAACACACAAACGCCTTGGTGTTATATTGTCGTCGTCGGGAAGTGGCCATGTCATATTAAGTCAATTATTGAAACAACATCAAAGATGATTCATTCAAGGAAAAAGCTTAAGTATATGCTCCGTCGTAGTGTGTTGAATAAGATTTATGCAATGTTTCTTAGAGCACCTTTTGAATATGCATGTGAAGTTTGGGACCGTTTTACCAAAGAGCAGAGCGACAGATTAGAAAAACTCCAACTGGAAGCAACAAGAATTGTAACTGGTTTACCAACCTATACTTCCGTCAAAAATTTATATTTTGAAACTTCCTGGGACCCCTTATCAGAGTGCAGGAGAAAACGTAAATTGTGTTTGTTTATAAAATATATAACAATATGACACCTTCATACCTTAAAGATCTAGTACCTCACTCTGTCGGGACAAGTGTGAGATCTGTGGGGGTAGAATAGGTCTTCAGCAACCCATGCTTGTCGTAAGAGGCGACTGTGCTTGTCGTAAGGGGCGACTAACGGGATGGGGTGGTCAGGCTCGCTGACTTGGTTGATGCATTTCATCTAATCCCGATCACGTGGATCGATGCTCATGGTGTCAATCACTGGATTGTCTGGTCCAGACTCGATTATTTACAGACCACCATCATATTGCTGGAATATTGCTGGGTGCGGCGTTAAACAACAAACAAACAAACAAAAGATTGGTCATCTGTGTTTTAAGAAACGTAACCACGGTCAATACATTCAGGGATCAACCAGATGAAATATTATATTTAAGTTTGCTCTTGATTCTGCTACAAGAGATACTGTTTGCTGGACATACTGGTTGTGCAGAAAACAATGTGTTGTGAAAAAACATGGGACTGATTGGCTGCTCTTTATATAGAAAACATATCGTACATCTTGAAGAACCAGTGCCCTCAACTACCAGACTCCCGTCCTCCGCCGACACAGGGACGCAACCCACGGCAAACAGGTTGCCCAATTTGGTCGCCTTCTACGACCAGCAATGGGGTGCTGTGGAAATATTCTACCCCGGTTCCACACGGGGGAAGAGCTATTAGCGCTACCCAGCACTCACCACGAGGAGGTTGCTCTTCACGAGTGCCTCGTACATCTTGAAGAAGTGACTCAATAAATATTCTGTTTGTAATTGTTTTCTCACAATGTTTTACAGCGGTAGAAAACTAACGGTTTCAGTCCACTAGTCCTTATGATGATATCATAAAGCAACCCCCCTAAAAATGGCAAATGTCTGCTAGTCCTTATGATACCTTTACTTTTGGGCAGTTTGGCAAGGACAAAAGGACTAGTGCCAATTTCTACCGCTGTTTTACAATAAAAATCACATTTTGATTTAAACAGAAAAAAAGCTGCATTATACCTTATATTATGTGTACATTCATCTTAATTTACATGTTTTAGGACCAGTCTCATTAAAATTAGATCTGAAGTCTCACTTCTACTAAAAAAAGATCTGAGGACATCCAATTACGGGTCCATCCCAAGATCTTTCATCCAACCAATCCATCAGCTTACAAGATCAGGAAAGTGACAGTTAGAATGCATTTTCTAATAATTCAACACCGAAAGGGTTAACACAGTGTATTCCGAACGACAGTTACAGCCCCCCAACTGATTCCGAATGTTACACATCTTCTATATTTCATTTCATGGGATAAACATTTGAAACAAATTCTTTCCACAGCCGGTGAGAAGTACTGCCGTACAGCCTCGGTCATATAGGCATTCCAGAACTTTCTTTTGTTCAGCTTTAACATTTTAAATCAAGAATACTGTCCAAATATTTTCAAGTTTAGTCTGGAATAGAAGTCACCATTTTTAAAGTAGTTCCCTAAAGCTCAGGAAAGCTGCATTTGATTGGGTAATATTGAGCTTCCTCTAAGTCACTTCATTTGTAGGTCAAAGTTTGTGAAAGATCGTTCTGACATGACCAGTAATAGGATGCTGGCAGATATTTGTTTAGCATTAGTGAGAGCTTAGATCTGATTTCAATGAATTTGTTTTATGACAAAATAAAATCATGATCAGACTAAATAAAAGACAAATACAGATTATCAGTCAGTACCAAATTGAAGACTCTCCGATGTCTATATATTATCTAATACATATTGATAAGAACGACTTCTTACACATTACACTGAGATTAACATTGCAGTCTTAGAGTCTCCTTGACAAGATATTGACATCACAGGGAGCAGCACAGTCTTCAGTCAAGTCAATTACCGGTAGCTGATGCTGGTTGTTGTAGAAAGGAAATACAGTTCTGCAGCCACACGATGGCCTTATCACAGTGGACACTGGGCAGTTGTGTCTGTAGCTCCAACAGGAAGCCGAGCATCTGCTGGTAGCGGTCAAGCACATCAAAGCGACACACCTCATGCAGCTTCCGTAGACAGACTGGACACAGGAAGAGAGGCTGATCCATGGCCTCCACCAGAGAGGTGCTCTCGTTCATAGAACAGTGGAAGTAGGTGCAGTGACGTTGACCGAACAGGTGACATAACTCATGGCTGATGGCCTTAAAAAGACAGCAAATCAGTGAGTTTATTTAAGGATTGAAGTTGTATTGTTGATGTTCATCAGCTGATGAAGACAGTGCCTCACATGAGCCAATTCCATGATGCGAAAAGGTCTGATTTTAACAAGATGTTTAGCGGTAGCGAGAACTAAGATCGTATTTTAACGAGACTGTATAGCGGTAGCGAGAACTAAGATCTGATTTTAACGAGATTGTTTAGCGGTAGCGAGAACTAAGATCTGATTTTAATGAGATTGTTTAGTGGTAGCGAGAACTAACATCTGATTTTAGTGAGATTGTTTAGCGGTAGGGAGAACTAAGATCTGATTTTAATGAGATTGTTTAGCGGTAGCGAGAACTAAGATCTGATTTTAATGAGATTGTTTAGCGGTAGTGACAACTAAAATCTGATTTTAATGAGATTGTTTAGCGGTAGTGACAACTAAAATCTGATTTTAATAAGATTGTTTAGCGGTAGCGAAGCTAAGATCTGATTTTAGTGAGATTGTTTAGCGGTAGCGAGAACTAATATCTGATTTCAATGAGATTGTCACAAATGTGGAATGAATTAAACTCGAAGAATCTCTTCCAGCTTGACACCAAGCATGATTAAGCAACTTATTTCTGCTATGATCAAATCTTCAACATGTTCCCTGTAGGCTTACCTAGGGAGAAAAGTGAGAAAAGGACGACAGGTACAAAGGCTCACCTTCATTCAGTGATTTAACATGAGAGTCTGTACAACATAGTTACTTATATCTTAGACAAAAGACCTCCTACCCCACCCGCATCTTGACAGGCCTATTTTTAGCGAGCTTATATTTCGTTTCTCATGTTTACAAAACATAAATTACAAGGCGTATATGGCAGTGTAATTTATTGTTAAACAATGATTGTAACTCTATTGCATTTCTTTAAATCTTTTCTGTTGAGATTCAGTAGAAGTTTCAATGCATTGTATGTGGACAATGTTGAGGTGATAGGAATGTAGTACTAGTTGATATAAGCAGTAGTGAGGAACATATTATATTTAGATGCTTGAATTATCTGTAAATTTACAGAGTAGCATCGGTGGATGTCAAGTGTTATAGTACATGTGGAATATGTTGTGATGTTTCAGTGACACTGGACTGGTCTGGTACTGTGTGTAAAGTGCTGGTAGCTGGTTAAGTTGAGCGGGCACATTCCTGTTGCATCTCACATTTCGTCTCACATTTTATCTGACATTACATCAAGACCAGCTTTTGTGTAAGGATCACTTATCAGCCCAAATGCAGCAAGGTGATTATTATTCTTGTCATTGTCATTTCCACTGCTCTCACATTTTATACTGCCATTACATATTGTACTACGACTCTATTGTGCACTACCATTGTAGTTGCTGTGCAGTTATTTGTATTGATTTGTAAACCTTGTTAATGTAGGGATACAACTATTGATTGTATACCATGTGTTGGTTGGTTGTTGGTTTCACACTAAATTCTTTTACGTACAGATTTCAATATTGTTTCAATTTGGGAATCGACATGACAAAATTTAGTTTCCCCTGATATCTATGATTCAAGTGAAAGTCATGTAAGCAGATACTCACAAATGTACTCAGTGTATAACAAATGGAAATACATGTATACATAAAACATGATCATGAACCATTCCCTGGCCACTAAACCATAGAGCTGGAGCATGGAAATGCCAATGAATACCCTAAGATAGTAATAGTATCTGTGAACATGGGCGTTAAAGACATTTCAAGAAGTTTTACTTCTGTATATCAGTTGGCAGCAATATGGAAGGTGAGATAAGAACCAAACATGAGCTTCATACATTTAAGTGGTTCATCTAATCACTGATTTGGGCTATTTGTCAGAAGTCATTACAGTGTACTTGCCAATTACAAAGTCTTCGGTCCAAGGAACTCCTCATAAGAACAACCGCCTCTGTGGTCTAGTTGACATTAGAAGGTTTTCCAATATATTTAACATGTTTGAAATGAATGTATAGAATTTCCTGAGTCTGGGAAATTTTATGGGACAATGGATCCTACAAGGCGACTAGAATAATCAAATGTCATCTGTTGTTATGAATAAATATAATTTACCTTCTTATAGCATTACTCAATGCATGGGGTGAGTGAGGGAGGGAGGGAGGGAGGAACAGAGCGACGGAGGGAGGGAGGGACGGAGGGAGGGAGGAAGCATGCACGCTTTTACTCTGCTTTAAGTTTAAATAAATACTCCAGCAACATCACGGCGGGGCTTCACACACGGTTCCCATGTGGGGAATAGAACCTGGGACTTTGGCATGACAAGCAATCGCTTATACCACCAGGATACCCCAACACTCCTTGAACTCGCTGAATTTATATATGATATTCAAAATGAGTTAAATAACACTGATTTTTTTCATATGACTATTGTTTAATTGTCATGAAACTAAAATGTTAACTGGCTTTAAGAAATCTGGACAATATCATAATCTGACATATTTATATTTAGCCTAATAATCATTAAGCATGTTCAGTTGAACATCATGTCAACTGTTTGATAGATTCCTTTAATTTTTGTTTCAGTTTGTGATTGTTTAAGTGAGTTTGCTTTAACACTGCTTAAAACAGAATCTATTGAAGTTTTACCACAGTGGTAACTGATTAATAAGAAGTTCAAAACACTTATAGTCAACAATTTGTTGAGTGACATTGATGAAAATTGTGGTAGCTGGCCTTCCTGTAGTTGCTGAGCTGACACCAAGCACTTTAAATTGATAATATACAGTTTTCAATTCACATCAACTGACAACAGTATCTCACTCATTTACTCATCACCTGGACAGTGGTTATCAGGAATAGAGACCTGATTTGTCTGACACTGCATCTCACTCACTTACATATAACAAGCTGGATCAACTCATGAGGCCAATACACAAGGGAGGGAGGGAGGGTAGGAAGGGATCTAAGGAGGGTTGTTGAAGATGAGGTGAAACCTGTCACTAGAATAGATAGACCTGGGAAAGAGGAAATTCGGTGCTAATGGACAAACAGACAGTGTGTGGAGACATTTGCTCACACTGACGATGTCGACATGAATAATTGTTTTAAAAAGTTTTCAACATGTTAAATCTGTATGTTTTCAAAGAAATCTGGATCGGAAGTGCCAAAAGAGAGGCCCAAGAAACAAGTAACAACAAATGAAAAACATATAGCAACGCACTTGTATAAGTGTCCAGACGAGGAACCCGTCCACTTCAGTGATGTCCTTGTGTGACTCTTGCGTGAAGTTGAGGTCATCCTCGGGGTACAGGTCTGTCCACACCAGTCCAAGGACACAGTGACCGTCTGAAGGAAGACTACTCTTCAGCAGGGGGTAAAAGTCTTTGGCTCGGTACTGTTTTTGTTCCGTCACTTTGTGACAACGAGTCTTCACAAGGTTTGTCCATTCCAATATCTCAATGGGCACACTTGGCAACACTGTTTTGAAGTTTGTACATGTATTTCCATCTGGGATATGTTTGACCTAGGTATATCAGTCTGGCTTGTGTCAGCGGTAGAAATAACCCAGCATCCTCATCTTGCTCCATGCCTCTGGCACTAGACCCTTCAAGGTGAAGGTCATGGCTTTCTTCTGTTATGCATTCAGACAAACTTTTCGAGTCCCCTACCGTGTCTTCAAACGAATAACTTTCAAAGTCTACAGGAGAACAATTATCAGAACCTGTTGCTGTAGAGCCAGCAGCTTCTGCACCAGCTTCCGCACCACCCAGAAGAACTTGGAGAGGAGCTCCAGACGCTTCAGCATTAAACTCCTCCAATCTCTTAAAGTTATTCTGCTGGGAATCTAAGATGGTGGACGTCAGGCATTTCTTCCCAAGACTCACCAGTCTCTGAGTCATAGGGTCAAGTCTATCAAAGTTCCCTAACAGCAAACGCAGGTCACGGGCAATCTGGGGTGAAGTGCCGTCAGACGGAGTGCTTGATGCTCCACCCATTTTGAAAATATGGCCCAAACAACTGATGTAAGTAACTGCACTGTAGATTAATGAATCATATTAAAGAAGTTCTTGATGTCTTGGTGATAAAATACTTCATGGTCTTTGTGACAAAATGAATTATCCAAAATCCCATTTGAAAATCTGAAATCATAAATAAAACCATGTTTACTAAACATATATCTGAACATGTTCTGCAATCTAATCGTATACAGAAAGATTTAAAAAATAAAACTCTCTGGTATCAAATACACAATAAAATGCATTTAAGACATCATGTATGTCTTCTAATCTTAAATTCCATGTTGTGTTATGTTTCTATCTTTAGGTAAAGGTACTGGAGTTCAAGTGTCGTCAGTGCAAAGCAAAATACTTAGAATGATTATCATAAACAGACAGCGATCTTGTCTGATCTGCCATGTGCACAACCGATGGACTTTGATGTACACCATGCTGCAGGCTACAGCTGCAGCCAGACGACAATACTTCATTTTTCTTCAGTTTTGGCTTGTTCGCAAGAAGCGGCAATAGAGGAGAAACGATAACAATAATGTTGATGAATGTTTATTTATATATTTCTGACCGGTTATAGAGCTGCAACAAGTTATAGTAACCAGGAAATGAGAGTGATGTTTACACCGGATACGAGTATAGTCAAAGGGAGATAATCAAACAGGTGCTTCCAAGTTTGAAATAAATACTACTTGTATGTGTACTTATAACACTTTTTATGGTCAACATCAACGTAACTTGTAAATAAAAGCAAAATAAAACGCTTTACAATGCATGTTTTATACAGAACACCACGTTTGAGGAAGAACGCAAGATCGTTTCTGCTCCGTCCTAATTTGTGACTATGTCACAAAGTTGCACACTGAAAATGCTTTTATCAAAAACATGTAAATACGATAAAACAAGAGGCTACAAAATAATATTTGAGATTTAGAAAACACATATCCTTCTTATTTTACTACCAAATGAAACGTTCAATGCATATTGCTCATCCACGTTTCCGTCAACATTGTTATACAGTGCGGGATGTTCAAGAACTATAGTCAACTATCAGGCATTGGCTGATCCGTTCACAAATCTTGTTTTGTGACCAGTTCACAAAAAGATTGGCGAACCGATTCACACATTGGCTGCCACAGTACATTTTTGTTGGCTGATTCGTACTGATGCTAAAATTATCAACAAGCTTTACCGAGTTCTTCAAGTTGATGGAGTTTCGATATACTCTGGACAGCAATATCACGGCGGGGCTCACCGGCAATGAGCTTCACGCATTGTACCCATGTTAGGAATCGAACCCGGACCTTCCTGGGTTTCCTGTACCGGGATTGGGGGACAGTTGTGAAGGGGGCCTAAGTGAGTTTTATTCCTTTCTCGTTATGAGGTTGGATATGAATGTCTTTGACTAGCATTAAAATATCTGGTCGTACCGGGTACATTTAAGCAGCCGTACCCATCACCTTACACAGATGCAGTTATCCCTTGATTTATCCGTACATATTTGCATTTGATGTAGCTGCTAATCTGGAAGTTATGAGGTAATAATAATGCCTTATCTTTCAGAAATTTAATAAAATGTTCTTTCAGAACACCACGTGTTGCATGAAATATTAAATTATAATAAAGCTTATTCGGCGTAATTAGTATCATTGTTTTTATAACTGCTATCCTAATAATGCACCATTACGTTTGGGATATCAACAACAGCAATCAGGATGTTTTTTCTCGCTTTAGAAACGTCAATACAATTGTGAAATTGAGGAAGCAGTCTAACGTTTCCTCGGCTAACTCAAACAGAGTTTGGGACGGGTCATATATTACAAGGGTGTGTGTGGGGGTTGGGGTTGGGGTAGGGGTGGGGGTGAGAGGTTTGGGGTGCACTTAGGTACAGAAGATATTGACCTTTCCCTAATGCTTGTCACATTTTTCAAGCCCCTCCCTGAAAATACAAAATGCTAACGCACTTTATATTTTATTATAAGCATCTGTTTATTTTTTCATGAGAATTATTCTTCAGTTTGATATGTCGTTGCGAAAATAGTACAAACTTTTGATTACCTTGGAGCCTGCAAAGTGTTTCCACTAATGTTTGCCGACATATCTCAGCTTGTTTGTATTGTGATCCACACGCAAAGATGAATTACACGGTATTATTCTAGATTGTGTGCCTGTGTAAATGAGCTATCCACTGTTTTAAAAACTGTCATGGGGCAAAATGCGATGACGGGAAGATAAATTTTTCACTTGTTTGGAAAGTTTAGGCTTATCGATTGTACAACACGCGGAAGGGTATGAAATATTAGTGCTTGAAATTCACTAAAATGCTGATTAAAAATATTCCCGCTTTATGACAGCAGTTTGTAAATAATCGAGTCTGGACCAGACAATCCAGTGATTGATATCATGAGCATCGATCCATGTAATTGGGATATGATGACATGCATCAACCAAGTCGGTGAGCCTGACCACCCGATCCCGTTAGTCGCCTCTTACAAGCATAGTCGCCTTTTACGGCAAGCATGGGTTGCTAAAGACCCATTCTACCCCGGATCATCACGGGGTCGGAAAATGATATGGTTCAGGGATAGTGAGACGTAATAGGTGACTGAGTATATGTACTTAATGTTTCAGAGATATGGTAGTCACATCTGAATGCTCTTAATGCTATATTATGACTCACATCATGACTCACATCAAGACCTATGCCCGTCTCAAGCCAAGCAGCGCCCTCTATGACGAGTATGATGTGACGCCAACCACATTACAAATTCGGACTCCGGGACTATTCCGGGACTATGGCTCTCCAGGATATTCCGGGCAACGGTTCGTCATGAGTACTACTTTAACAGAGTCTTTGATGTCAGTGACACACAAGAAAATGTGTTTGATGGAGTTGCCCGAGAAATTATTAATAGTGAGTGTGTGATGTATATCTTGAAATTGAAGAGTTTACTGCAGTCAAGTCTAATTTAAAGTTTTATAAAGATTTTTCAAGACAAGATTTTTGTTGGGTTAGTAAGGCCTACAGTGTGGTGGGGTTAGTAAGGCCTACAGTGTGGTGGGGTTAGTAAGGCCTACAGTGTGGTGGGGTTACTGAGGCCTACAGTGTGGTGGGGTTAGTAAGGCCTCCAGCATAGTGGGGTGAGTAAGGCCTATGAGGTGGTGGGGTTTGTAAGGCCTCCAGCATAGTGGGGTTAGTAAGGCCTACAGTGTGGTGGGGTTAGTAAGACCTACAGTGTGGTGGGGTTAGTGAGGCCTACAGTGTGGTGGGGTTAGTAAGGCCTACAATGTGATGGGGTTAGTAAGCCCTACAGTGTGATGCGGTCAGTAAGGCCTACAGTGTGGTGTGGTTAGTAAGGCCTACAGCGTGGTGGGGTTAGTAAGGCCTACAGTGTGGTGGGGTTGGTAAGGCCTACAGTGTGGTGGGGTTAGTAAGGCCTACAGTGTGGTGGGGTTAGTAAGGCCTACAATGTGATGGGGTTAGTAAGGCCTACAGTGTGGTGGGGTTAGTAAGGCATACAGTGTGGTGGGGTTGGTAAGGCCTACAGTGTGGTGGGGTTAGTAAGGCCTACAGTGTGATGGGGTTAGTAAGGCCTACAGTGTGGTGGGGTTAGTAAGGCCTCCAGTGTTATAGGGTTAGTAAAGCCTCCTGCATAGTGGGGTAAGTAAGGCCTACAGTGTTTTTGGGTTAGTAAGGCCTACAATGTGATGGGGTTAGTAAGCCCTACAGTGTGATGGGTTTAGTAAGGCCTACAATGTGGTGTGGTTAGTAAGGCCTACAGCGTGGTGGGGTTAGTAAGGCATACAGTGTGGTGGGATTGGTAAGGCCTACAGTGTGGTGGGGTTAGTAAGGCCTACAGTGTGGTGGGGTTAGTAAGGCCTACAGTGTGATGGGGTTAGTAAAGCCTCCTGCATAGTGGGGTTAGTAAGGCCTACAGTGTGGTGGGGTTAGTAAGGCCTACAGTGTGATGGGGTTAGGAAGCCCTACAATGTGGTGTGGTTAGTAAGGCCTACAGTGTGGTGGGCTTAGTAAGGCATACCGTGTGGTGGGGTTGGTAAGGCCTACAGTGTGGTGGGGTTAGTAAGGCCTACAGTGTGGTGGGGTTAGTAAGGCCTACAGTGTGGTGGGGTTAGTAAGGCCTACAGTGTGGTGGGGTTAGTAAGGCCTCCAGCATAGTGGGGTGAGTAAGGCCTATGAGGTGGTGGGGTTTGTAAGGCCTCCAGCATAGTGGGGTTAGTAAGGCCTACAGTGTGGTGGGGTTAGTAAGACCTACAGTGTGGTGGGGTTAGTAAGGCCTACAGTGTGGTGGGGTTAGTAAGGCCTACAATGTGATGGGGTTAGTAAGCCCTACATTTAGATGCGGTCAGTAAGGCCTACAGTGTGGTGTGGTTAGTAAGGCCTACAGCGTGGTGGGGTTAGTAAGGCATACAGTGTGGTGGGGTTGGTAAGGCCTACAGTGTGGTGGGGTTAGTAAGGCCCACAGTGTGGTGGGGTTAGTAAGGCCTACAATGTGATGGGGTTAGTAAGGCCTACCGTGTGGTGGGGTTGGTAAGGCCTACAGTGTGGTGGGGTTAGTAAGGCCTACAGTGTGGTGGGGTTAGTAAGGCCTACAGTGTGGTGGGGTTAGTAAGGCCTCCAGTGTTATGGGGTTAGTAAAGCCTCCTGCATAGTGGGGTTAGTAAGGCCTACAGTGTTGTGGGGTTAGTAAGGCCTACAATGTGATGGGGTTAGTAAGCCCTACAGTGTGATGGGTTTAGTAAGGCCTACAATGTGGTGTGGTTAGTAAGGGCTACAGCGTGGTGGGGTTAGTAAGGCATACAGTGTGGTGGGGTTGGTAAGGCCTACAGTGTGGTGGGGTTAGTAAGGCCTACAGTGTGGTGGGGTTAGTAAGGCCTACAGTGTGGTGGGGTTAGTAAGGCCTACAGTGTGATGGGGTTAGTAAAGCCTCCTGCATAGTGGGGTTAGTAAGGCCTACAGTGTGGTGGGG